CCACCTGCAGTTTTTACATGATTCACACTTACAAATCTCATCTTCTGACCACGAGGTCTTACTGCTGCTCTCAATGGTCAAAAAAGTCAAGATGGTGACTGCTGCAATCATGCGATTGAAGCCCTGATCCTTTTTCAGGTACCTTGTTTGATTCCTCCCTCATTCAGTACTTTATATCCTAGCTCCCCAACGTCTGGCTGAAGTTATGGACAGACAGGCCTGCTAACTGAACTTTTAAAAACCCACATACATGCCATGCACATTTAAAAGGGGAGGGGCCTCAATTCCATGGATGTGGACTCTCCCCACCCCCCTGCAGATGTCCCTGACCTTAGGTTAAGTAACTGAAGGACATTCTGACTAAGAACCCTTCTTTCTACAGGGAGCTATAGAAGAGTATGTGCTTCACATACCCATATAATGACAGTATACCTAGAGACTTCAAGAGGTTGCATTTTCAGCTACAATTATTTTTTGAAAAAACAAATGCAAGGAAAGCCTTTTTTTTTTTTTTAAGGAAAAATATCTTCTTGGTGGGCTGCTGTGATGCAAAGACAGATCCTGGGAAGTGGGAATGGTGGATGATAACTGCTAGAATGTCTTCATAAAGTACAGTATTCTGAATTTGCTTGAGAGGAACAAGTTAATGTGCTGGGCTGGTCCAGACAAAACCCAGTGTACTGTAATGGGCATCAGACAACATAATATAAGCCAGTTAGTTTGTGGAAAAAGGCATTAGATTAGAAACCAGAAGATCCTGAGTTCTAGCCCTGTCTTAGGCATGGAAGCCGGCTGGGTGAGCTTGAGCCAGTCACTCCCTCTCAGCCCTAGGAAAAAGGCAAGGGCAAACCGCTTCTGAAAACCGTTACCAGGAAAACTGCATGAACTCGTCAAGAGTGACTCAAAGGTACAAAAGAGAGAATTCAATCTGAGCAGGACCCCAGGTGATTTCATAAACAAATCCATGTAGTTCTCTTAGCAACCATCCAGAAGTGATTTCTCACTGCCTTCCTGGGGGATGTTTTTCCGACTTTGGGGATTTCCTAGTGCTCTTCCGCTACTCAAGGGCGATTCTACTTAGTCTTTCTGATGAGCCAAGGTCGGCTAAGTGCTGCCACCTATGGTAGTTAAATTCATCTTACACATATATTCTTCATATGATTATAATGCAAAGCTTCTCGCCAGATTAGCATTCAAATGTAACGTTTGTACCTAACAAACAAGGCTGGACTGGGGGCGAACGGCAGTAATTTGGCTCACGTCCCGTTGCATTCCCGGCCAAAGGCTCTAACGAACTCCGAGCGCCGCGCTACTTGTCCTTTACTCGGGGTTAGGAAACGCCGGGCGCGTTGCTGGTCGCCCAGCTCTGAGCCCGCCCCGACGCGACCTACCGCGAGAGGATTGGAACGCCGAGCCGCTTGACGTCCCCGGAGCGGCCCTGCGCGCGCGACCTTTGCGGAAGGTTAGTCCGGGCGCTGCTCGCGTCGCTTCTTCGTTGCTTTTTTTCCTGCAAATCGCCTTTTAGCGGAAGGGAGACTTGGAAATCGTGAGCTTCGTCTGGCTAACTGACGCGGTGGCATCAATGCAGATTTGCTTCTCGGGGAAGCGGGAGAGAATTTCAGGAGGAAAATCGAAATAGTTTTATCTGCACAGGTAGCAGGCGTCATAGCGATTTTCCGATCTGCAGATTTTAAACAGTGCTCAAGCACTGGAGATGTTACCTAAGCGGGTAACGAAACGTCTGCAAGAAAACAACCAAGCTCAGAGAGCCCCAAGGACTCCACAATTTAAACAGTGCATCTGGCAAGTTGGTCCAACTTGCCAGATGCACTACAGAAAAATGGTAGCCTTCTTCCCCAACCTGGAGCACGCCCCCACTGTATCTGTTGGACTATAATTTTTGCCTTTCCCTGGCTGAGCCTGATGGGAGGTGACACCGAAATAGGCGAATGTGTGGGGTTGCGCAGAGAGTGTTGTTGCGGCTTGGTGCCTTTCCTTTAGAGTTAAAATGTCGCGATGAAGCATAAACCAGTGTCAGAGGTGGGTTTGTACAACTCATTCAGCTAAAATGCGTGACCGGTGCTCCGCGACCCGAGCCATGATTAATTTGTACGCTAGTTCCCAGACATACAAACCAGATTTGCACGTAGCCTGCCCAGACAACGAAAACAGCGTACAACGTGTTCTCGAGTCCAACACGTGTGGACGCCACGTGGGTCAGTTGCCTTTGAAGAATCACGTGTCTTGTTTCGACTGGTTTGCTAAGGTTTTGAGAACCTTTACCTTTGTCTCGAGATCCGGTATTTTTTTCAACGGAAAGGGGACATCTTTTTCAGCGTAGGTAAACGTTGCTCCATCTTTTTTTAAGTTGGTCGTGTGAAATCTTTAGAATCAATTCACCCGGAAAGAAAACCTGAATACATTTTTTAAAAATCTATTTCTGGATTTGGTATTTGTTCCTATTTATGTTACAGCATGAGTGTGGATTGGATTGGCTATGGCTATGCTGCGTTGGTTGCCTCCGGTGGAATAGCTGGGTATGTAAAAGCAGGTATGATCTCTCCTTTTGTTTTCTCCAGCTTTCACCTTCTGTCAATTTATTGGCACAATAGCGATGAGATGTATTTTGGAACTGACTACTTCACTACAGCTCCGAGAACAAAACTGATTACTAGATTTTCATTTTGCTAAAAGCCCAGGGTGGATTTTTAACAGTATAAGCAGTGTGTGGCCCATCTTACCACAACCAAACTAATCTCAAGCTGTGGAAGTTAGTAATCTTTTTGTTTCCACGAACAATGCAGCCCATAATTTCAACTAAAAAAAAAAAAAAGAATTCCCAACCTGTAATAAAAACGATCAGAATGGTAGGGACCAGGACAGAAGTCCTCTTGCGCATGAATGCAAATAAACAGGCAAGATTTACTGTTCAAAGTTCGCCATCATAAAGAGAATTACACAACGTTGCAGATTTCTCCTTGCAACTGTTTTGGAAATGAAGTTTTGCAAGCCACATGTCTAATACAAAATTTCCCTTATTCCTGCTGTGCCCTCCCCCAAGTTCTCCTTCCTCCAAAGGGAAGGCTAGCTTGTAGCTTTGCTAAGGGAATTCCCTCCCATAAGCGCCTATCACGAGGCTTGCTGTAACTTGTGGTGGGATAGAACTCCAAAGGGCTCTATGCAGGAAGCCCTTTTATGTCCTCCCCTACTAGGGTGGAGCTGGAAGAAATGTGGCAGCAGTTTGTTGGGTTGACACATTTCATCTTCTAACCAAGTTCTGTGCTGTCTGTTTAAACTAGGTAGTGTCCCTTCCTTAGCTGCTGGTCTCCTCTGTGGTGGGTTAGCAGGATTGGGTGCTTATCAGCAGTCAAAGGACCCAAATAATATTTGGCTTTCTCTGGGTAAGTATTTTTCTTGCATCAATATTCCACACAGAGAGACGTGTTTATTTGTATGCACACACATTTATTAGATTACTTTCAGTATTCCTTTTCCCTCTACCCTGTTCTGAGATTCAGTATACTTACAATCCAGGATTAAGTTAATGGCAAAAACATAGAACCATCTCACTGGGTGTTCAAGTTTTCACATGTGACTTGTCACCTTCTTTGTTCATCTTGTAAGTTATGTGCATTTTAAGGTATTACTTCAGAAAGCATGTTCTAGTTCTACATTTATGCATGTTTGCAATTGAACTTTTACACCCTATTCGTGCCAAGTGTTTTGTAAATCTTGGTATTTTTTTTTCTCACATGTGTAATCTGCAGTTTAAATTAATTCTATTAGGGAAGCATGCTGGAGACTAGTAATTGCAGAACTAAGAGATGCAGTAAGAATTTCAGGTTCTTGACTCTGAAAACAATATATGAGGGCAGGAAGTTAAGCAGATTTCAGTATGGTACTGAAGTCCAGAGGCAACTTCTTCTACCATCAGGCCTTTCCTGATGTGTGTGCTTATATTTGGTTCCATACATTCTTCCTTAAATGTCATAATTTACCACTCTTGGGGTTGTCATATTTTTTCTAGCTGCATCTGGAACCTTGACTGTCCTGATGGGAATGAGATTCTATAACTCTAGAAAACTGATGCCTGCAGGGTTAATTGCTGGTGCCAGGTACAACTCCTATTTTCCCATTGTTAAGTTCTGAATGATTGGGTTAAATAAACTACAGAATGTTGGTTTTCTTTGGATAAGCATAGGTATTGCCAAGAACATATCTAAGGTACAATCATTTAATTTATTAGCAAAATTTACTGACACGTTGATTTATTATTTAAACAGTGCATTAATAGTTGATTTCTATTTTTATTTAAACAGTCTATTAATGGTAGGCAAACTTGGACTACAGATGATGGAAAAACCTCTTTAGCCATAATCATGCAACAAACAAAAAGCAGATGAAAGGCCTACGGAGACTGCCCTCACAATGCCTATTTGGAACAAAACTGAAGACAATATTATGCTTTTTAAAATTATACCATTTGCAAAGTTTTTAAACTATAAAATGTGTTCAGGATTTGTAAAGAGTCAGTTATTACATAATTGTAGCTTTCATGTCTCAGTTTTTATGTATGCATTTCTTGTCATAACTCCAAACATTTTATGATGATGAACGGGAAACATATGGTAAATGGTGTTGCTGATGCCTTGCAGGAAATATGCTTGTTTAACTTAGTGTCATCATGTCTCCAAACTGAAATTCGTCTCTATGTATTTATACATAAGGAGTTTCACTCAAAAGCAAAAAGTTTAAAAGTTCTCTTTAAAATCAGCTAAAAATTATTAAATGTCTAAGAGCCTTATGAATTGTGACTTATTTCCTAATTTTAAATAAATTTGAATACCAAAATTCTAAGTTGTAACCTTTTACAATTAAAGGCTAAATAGGCTTTCTAATTTATTTGTATATGAAAACATGCAGACTGATATTTTTATTGATATTTCTCAATAGAGAAGTAGATGCCTTCAGATATATTAATTAAGAATGCAATGAAGCATATGCAAGAGTAGATGTATCCTCAGATCTCCTGGTCATTTTTACATTTTTGTACAATTGGAACTAGACATAAACAAGCTTAGAGTATGCCCACTGAAATATGAAGGCCAAGTCAGTTGTGTTTTCAGTGGTTTTACTCTAGTCATAAATAAAACGGAGCCCAACTCACTGCTTCTACGAAGCTTCAGAGCATTTCATATGACATTCTTCCTATGGCCAGATGCATCTCTGAAAGAAATCAGTATCCCATTTGAAATTACCAAATGCTGCATATGTTTAATGTTGGATTAGGCCTTCCACACCCAGTAATTCACTCAAATGGCACCTCATTTGATTGCTTTAATAATGTAGTGTATAAAATTCAAACAATTATCAGCAGGTCACTTCTACTATGAAGAAATCTCCTTTTCTCAATGTTTAGAAAATAAGAGTTTGAGTTTGGAAATGCAGACTCTCATCAGAGTGAGAGTACACAGAAAAAAAACACCCTTGTACAAAAGAACTTTCTCAGTTTCAACAGTAAACACTGAGGTAATACAAGATTCATCACTGTATGTCTGATAACATGTCATTCTGTGAAGTGTTTAAAAGCATTTTAAAATCAGAATTTGGTACTACTGTATTCTGATATACTGATAATACTTTATTAGATGAAGGCAAGAGCATGGATTTACTTAAGCATAAACAAGTCCTTCTTTCTCCCTACAGCATTCCGCCTTTTATTTAAGGAAAAAAGTGTCAGTTCAGCAAAAGCAAACCTTGAGCACATTTAGAGAAAAAATAAATACTATTTTAATAAAATAAGCAAAAAAAAAAAAGTAACAAGTTCTTTGCCAGAGCAACTATCCTCTAGCAATTTCTTCCCCTTCATATCACCAATTTAAACTTTAGTTGAGGTCAATTTGTGCAATGGGTATTGGGCATCAGGGACTAATTAACATGACTACAATAGGCCCTAGTTGGCTCTATTTTGGTGTATAAAAAGTTGGTGTATAAAAAGTTCTATTGGTGCAAAGGCAGAAAGTTATACTGCTAATCATGCCATGATAATAGGATCACTCTTGGGTGTACTGAAATTTATGAGCTGATTAATTATTTTCCAGGTGCCATTCAAAGTGCTGTTTTTAACTTCTGAAACGTAATACGGTTTAGACTTGATAACCTGAGAAATAGGCATCTCTCTCTGGGCCTTAAAGGTCAGCAGGGGAGGACCTCATAAAGATGCCTATGATTTCAAACATCCATTTGTCAGGCACAGAGGAGAGGGGCTGCTCCATCAGTCCCAGGCTATGGAACATTATTGCAGATTTTACACTTGGCTTTTTCTTTTTCTGCTTGTAAGAAAGGAATCAATATTTTCCTCTTCAACCAGCCTTTTGAGCTGGCTGGTGATGACTTTGGTTTCTATTTGTATAAAAATATTTTTATATGAATAAATCATTTGTTGTAATTTTTATCAATTATTTATTTAGTCTACCGGTCAGCTTGAAAATACCAGCATAGAAAGACAGGGTACAAACAAATAAATGTTAAGTTATAAATAATACATTGCTTTTTCTGATGGAAGACTACTATATTCTTGTATTCCTGAGAAGTTAACTTTATTATAAAACAAATGATTTTCAGTTGAAAACCAGCCCAGTTGCAAAGGCAAGTTGGTGGCTTTTTATATGAAACTTTTAAGTAGATTCCTTTAAGACAGCATTTATAGCATAGTGCATTATGTAAATTTTGAGAGACTGAAACAGATCAGTCTAATATTCCTGCAACTCTGCACTGGGATAAAATATTGTCCACATAACAGCAACTTAAAAAACTATTCAATAATATTAATTGGCCTTTATATTATTAATTCAAGGTTTCAATATGTAATACACTTATCAGTAAACCCTACTGAAATTGAGACAGCATATTTAAGTGCATTCTACCTTAAGTCTCAAATCAAGACTCAAATCAAACATGTCCTCTGCAACAAGAGTGTGCAATTTTTAAAAATAAAATACATACAAAATACTTGTCAGTCTGCAAATAACTTAACATTTTACAATTGAATAAGAATACATAATACATGCTATTTTAACAACTACAGATTCTCAGTTTCAATATAACAAATACCATATTTAGCAGTTGGAAAAGCATGGAGTTTTAAGAGTGACATCTGATGGATAAAGCAAGGCTTTCTTATATATTAACAAATCACTAACTTGAACTTGAAACACCACATAGATTTTGGGCCATTGTGTACTTATGGCATCCAAAATATGTCTTGAGGCCAGATAATGCTATCAATGCTATAGTATAGAATGAGGTTTGAAGAATAAATACTGGAAGTTATTACCAGATTTTAAGCAATTCCTTTAGGAATTAAAAGAGAATTCTGTAGTTATTCAGCTTTGGTTACCAAGAAAAGGCACTACAGTTGACTAATTCTATGGTCAAATTCAACTAAAAAAATAAAGGGAAAAAACAACATACAAAGTTACTTAGACTTCCTGGAAATTATTTCTGAAGTACCACCAGAATGCCTTCATAGAAAGCCACATGAGTAATTATTATTTAAATGCTTATTTTCTGATTAAATAATGCTATCTGGCCTTCTTCCCAGGTAAGGGTTCTTTCTGAATATCATTCACTCATAATATTTCCCAGTCGTAAGGCCAAATCTGCATATGATGCCCAGGAAAACTTTCACCTCAGCTAAATGGCTCCACAAATGCATTAGGTTTCTACTGTCTAAACACTTCTGCAAGGAAAAGTTTCCCTCATTTCAGAATCAACAGTAACAGCTGATGCATGTATATAACTATATGTATGCAAAACACAACAGCCTATAAGTTCTTGGGATCAGGCCCAATGCAAAGCACAGATGAATGTCTTCCCACCTGTAAGTTCCATAGTCACAACTAGAAACAAGGTGTATACAGATCAGTGGAAAATGGTTTAACACCTTCACGTGTACACTCACAGGAATCACATACAAGAGTAATCCTATTCCTGCAAAATCTAATATAAAACTGAACCTTAGGGGTGCATCACTTTTGTAAATACTAGTAATAGTTGGCTCAGTGACTATGTCTTCATTCTCTGTAATCAAAAGAAATAAAGGTATAAGTCAACCCAAATCAAAGACAAATAGTTCAGTTTTAGTTTCTCTGAATATAGCTGGGCAATACAGCAGAAAATTCATTTATTACTATTCTTTTGCTTTTATTGTTTAATTCAGTATTTTGAAGGTCACTCTTTACTTTTATAATCTGTTGCCCTACATATTTAAATTAGCCATGATTGTCCAGTAGCTAATATCTTTACATGTCCTCTTATTTTTGACAGTTTTTCAGAAGAAACAATCAAAGGGATTCAAAACAACTTTCTGTTCATTTAAGTAAGAGTATACAATTTTTTTAGTTTTGGCAAGATAACTTTATAGAGAATACTTCATAATGTAAACAAAACAAAAAAGCCTGCCTTAGAGGCACTATTTTGAATAATATTTTCTAAATAAAATGTATTTATTTGCTATAATTTCCCCCTTAGAGATAATAAAATACAGGCTCTCACGTATTTCCAGAATTGTTATTCTATTAGTAGAAATATGATTTAAAGTGTCCCGGAAGAAAGAAATGAAGGATATAAAGAATCACAGTATGCATACGTGATGTGAGAAAGCACTTCTACCGATGCCCTCCGTACTTAGCTACCCAGTCAGTTCTTCCATGCACAGGTTGCACTGGGGGCGGGTGAGTTAAAATGTTCATGCCTTTTGTGGCGGGGCTGTAAGTAGGCCCTGGCAGTTGGGCACGAGCAGCTTTGGTTTTCCAAGCATATTCTGAAAACAAAATTACAAAACCAATACAAGCAAATCCAGTGACTATGGATCCTGCTAATATTTCTCTCACTATTAAACAGAATCAGGCTAAAATTCATAGCATATTCTTCCAAGTAAGGATCTTTATACAAGAGATAAAGCTATGCTCTAATTTCAAAAAGGTTTAGAACGTAATAGGAATGAGATGGGAAAGAAATACATTTATTGTTGAAGAATACTATTGTTTCTACAGTAATAATAGTAAGCCTTCATTACTATAGCCGTTAAGTGGATTATGGAGCACAGACAGCCAAACTGAAAGAGACTAACAAGGGATAAAGAAAGTCTCTAAAGCATCTGTGATTCTACATACTAAGCCAGTGTTGTCCAAACTTGGCCACTTTAAGATGAGTGGACTTCAATTCCCAGAATTCCCCAGCCAGATGGCTGGCTGGGGAATTCTGGGAGTTGAAGTCCACTCAGAAGAAGAAGAAGAAGAAGAAGAAGAAGAAGAAGAAGAAGAAGAAGAAGAAGAAGAAGAAGAAGAAGAAATAATCTTTATTGTCATTGTACAACTTGTACAACAAAATTAATGCCACCCTAGTGCAGCTTTAAAAATATAAAAACCATAAAACACATAAAACACATATAACACAACCTTCACATTCCATATTGCACAACCTTCACATTCCATACTATAATCTTTATTGTCATTGTACAACTTGTACAACGAAATTACTGCCACCCTAGTGCAGCTTTAAAAATATAAAAACCATAAAACACATAAAACACATATAACACAACCTTCACATTCCATATTGCACAACCTTCACATTCCATACTGCACAACCCCTGATGCTGCATTAATACTGCACTATACGATAGAATTCAGTATAGTTGCAGCTATATGCAAAGTGCAGCTATATGCAAAGTATGCAAAGTGGCCAAGTTTGGACAACACTGTACTAAGCAGTGGCAGAAACTTCAGAAATAGCAGCATGATCAGGAACTAAAGCTATAATATGCTATCAAATATAGATGTGTGACAGAAAAGTGATAAAACAGTCATCTATTAATCACCCAGATAGATATTATGAATTCCCCAAATAATACCATCAATTTGAAAATGAGTTCTCCTTTGAATATTTATTCAACACTGGATTCTATAAACCTATAGAGATGGGTCAAGAGTTTTGTAAGCCATGCATCTATCTACATATATGTTAAAAGGTACCCAGGAGGGGTGCAGGCAGAGGGAAAGAAGGTCAGAGAAAGTTAAAATTCTATAACGTTATCCATAAAAAGTATTTATACAGATTTATCGTATGGGAATCAGAATTTAAAATACATGTCACTACCTGTAACTTAACTTGCAATACCAGGATGTTTGCACTGTCTTCAGTACAGCCTTAACTGTGTTGGTATAATTATTTTACTTTTTAATGTATCACTATTTGATCTTTTTGCTTTTTTTTCCTGACCTCACTCGTCCCCATGTTTACCACATTTCCATATCTAAATATAAGCCTGCTAATTATTCAGATGCACAGAGTGCATTTCAGAAATCATAGTTGGGGATGGCTTTATACAGAAAAGAAACATTTTGTTTCCAGAACTTTGGGGGGTGGGGTGATGATGGCTGTGAACCATTGTTTCTTTGTTCTAATAAATTCTGATACCTTTAACCCCCTAGCACTGCACTCCCTCTGCAATTTTTACACTGATATTGACTCCAACTATAAAATCACATTTATGACTGAAATAATTGTCTTTAAATGTTTAGATGTTCTTGTATTCCTTTATCTCCTGCTAACTTACCCCACTAAGAGCTCAAAAGCATCCAACTCATTTGTAGCATTTTGGTAATCCTAACAACAATACTGTGCAACTGTGAATGCAACTATGTCTACTTCTTTCTAAGTTAATTTATTATTTTTTTTAAAAAATCACAAGACTGCTGTTTTTTATCAAACTAGGCAGGAGCTTCAGAGATGGACAAAGAGAAGGCAGGTTGAACATAGGCTGAATATGGTCAGGGTGAACCTAGTCTATTCTTACTGATAGTTATCACTTGTGGCAAAGAGGTGATTAGGGCATTGCCTGTGTGAGCAGCTGTGTCATGTTGTCTACATTGTGTACAGATGCTGATCACAGAATGGCTAATTATCAAGACGCTATTCTGCAGACTTTGCTTCTCACTGTTGGTCATCATTTTAACAAGAGTTATCAATTAATTTCTATTTTAGCTTCATAATTGCGCTGTTGTCTCACAAATGGGAGAAAGTTCTGTCAGGTAAATAAATTAAGAAAATTAAATAAAAATTTAGGGCATTTGTGAAAAGCTGAGGACATGACAAAAATGAACTGGAACGTGCTAGCTCCATGACAGAAGGAAGAGTTATTTCCAATGAAAAAGATGACCTGTTGGACCTTTCTAAAACACCTTTGAGGCAAGTGAGCTGGGGGGGGAGCAGAAATCTGGTAGATGAAGCCCTTCCATACCATAGACCTGCAATGATGGGCAAGCTGTCCCTGTTACTGGGTACCTATACAACAACAACATACTTTTTGTTCCTTCAAAAAAGTTAACCATCCCAATTATGAGGCAAGACATCCCACTGTTAACTGCATTTCTGAAGATCAAGGTTAAGAATTCCTTTTGTATTACAAAATGACAATAATCAGTAGACCATGGGGACTACTGCAGTGCTGACCTACTAATGTATTTATCTTGTGAACTGAACAGTACAGAAATGGGTGTTCCTAGCATGTTACATCAGTTGACCAATTCACTTGGAATGGGGGAATTCAGTTCTATTATGTTTCCCTCAATATGCACAGTTACACTTAATGTGTTTTTCCCCCTTACTGTAAAAAAAAATGACCAAGCAGAATAAAGTAGTCAGGTCTTGTCACCTCACGTTGCTGTTCCAAGGTTCCCTACCTCAAGACTGCTCTGCCTACACCCTGGGTCCATGTTCTCTTGCTAAAAATCCACTTCCACAGCCCTTATATCCAGGTGGAGATAACGAGCCACCTGCAACAGCGAGTCAGTAAAAGACACAATTTCTAACAAAACTGTCACTTTCTAAAACATGGGGTTTCAGCTTGGGTTTTGCCAGGCAGCTTATTCCCTTTGAAATTTAAGCCCTTTTCAAGATAAAAAATCAAATTAAATTTATGTTATCCTGAACAGAAGAACATAAAGTAGTCTAGGGATGAAATGGTGCAGGGACTACAACGTATAAGCAAGACTATAGTGAAGATTCCAGTCTTGTTTGTTGACTCTGGCTGCACTGCTATGTCTGCACATCTAATAATGGTCAATTAAGTAAATTGCCATGTATTTCTAAACTGAATATTGTGTTATTCAGGAATCACAAGGTAACAAATTATTAAAACACCATTTAATTCAATGCAAATGCATGTTTGGTATGTTAACATTGGGTGTATATTTAACAGGAAACACTGGAAGTACAAGTAGTCCTTGCTTAACAACCATTCTTTTAGCGACCATTTGAAGTTACAATGGTGCTTAAAAAGTGACTTACTTGCGCTTATGACTGTCGCAGCATTCCTGCAGATTGCGATCCAGGCGCTTGGCAACCAGCTTGTACTTACAATGGTTGGAGCATCCTGAGGTCATGTGATTGCCATTTGCGACTTTTCCAGCCGGCTTCTGGCAAGCAAAATCAATTAATGGCCACGTGATTCACTTAATGACCATAGTGATTCGCTTAATGACCACCACAAAAATGTTGTAAAATTAGGTGTGGTCTCTTGATGCCTTGCTTAACAACCACACCACTTAACAATGAATTTTTCGGTCCCTACTGTGGTCGTTAAGTGAGGACTACCTGTATATGGTTTCAATTTTGGAATTTACCATTAGCAAAAGAAATGATTACTGTATTTATCCCAAAGGGAGATGAGCCCCCCCAATGAAGAACAGTCAGGAAAAAAACCTTATGACACAGGGAAAAGTTGTACAATGCCCAGGTTCCACATCTTGTTAATCCCAGCTAAAATCAATCAATGAATATTCTCCTTCCTGAATAGGAAGTGTGCATGTAGCACACTTCTATATGTGTGTACAGTACACATAAACAAATGTGCATTTTTATTTCCTAGAGGCATTAAAAAAGAGAAAAATAAAACTGAGCTGTAAACTTAACAAAATCTCATTTAATAAAATTAATCCCCTATCTGCACATATCAGTCATTCTCTCACATATAATTATTCTCACACACAGAACAACACAAATACATTCATAGATGGGGTGGGTGTGTTTCAGGGGGAAGGAATAATTGCACTGGGAAGGGGGAAAAAAAGGAGGGAAGAAACCTAGATGAAAATGAGGGGAAAAGAGAATGAAAGGGTTAAGACAGCAATACATGCAGCCCTTTCCACCTCCCACACATTCAGTTATTTTTCATTTGTACTCTGTGCAAATACAAGACAATCCACACATTCCAAAACATCATCTTCCTATTGGATAAATATCCTATCTTTGCTATATAGTATGTCTCAGTAGTAACAGTAAAACTTGGGAATATATCTTTTAACCAGAGGTTGGCAACCTATGGCCCCAATAATCCCTTTTCCTTCTCCCCTCTCAATTTTGCTACCACATTTTTCAAACATACTTTTCAAAAATCAATGGCAATGCCATTTTGTGACAGGAAACAGATGGAAACTGAAAGACCTAACACAGGTACTATATTTTTATAAAATCTCAAGAACACTCAAGGAAGCAATCCAGAACATTCTGAGCTTGCTCATATTTTTGATAAGGCTTCACCTATGTTGCATCATCAGGCCTGTTTGTGTTGTTAATCCCCAAATGTTTCCCAGTCAGCAGAAGTTTGTCACAGATGTATTTTAAATGGATGCTAAAGACAAGTCAAAATGAAGTTTTTCTTCTATGGATTTGGAAGGAAATAAACTGTTCTGGAGGGAAGGTTAATTAAACTTTGGATGATGACGATGACGACAACAGGGGAACTTAAGTCTCCAATTAAAGTCTTCTCTAGTATGAATTTAATTTAAATATGTTACATCCTCAGCATGACTCAGCAAATCTATCTCTGTTTATGCCAGTTGGGCACCAAACCCAAATCCTTTTTAAAAAGCATAACAGATAAAGAAACTAAAGCCATGTAACTTCATTTATTTCAGCCCAATGTAAGTAAAATCATTTCATACCTGTAACTGATGGACCAAGAGGTGCTAACTGTATCCTTTGGCCAGCTGAACCAACCTCTTTTTTGTGAAATGAAGGGATATATCCTCCAGGAGCATTGTAAGCAGCACCAATAAAGCCAGCATTTCCTACAGATAGATAAAATAAAAATAAAAATTCAGGAGGGGGCTAGGCAGCAGAAACAACCTTACAAATACCTTGAATGAATGAGTAAATCAATCAATCAATCAATCAATCAATCAGATATTATAATGCTATTCATACACAGGAATCCCTAATTGTACTCATTACTCATATTTTTATATATTATACAATTGTCCAGCAAAGCAAGCTTTACAGCAAGAAGGTATGTACAGGTTTTCATTTTTTCGCATGGAGATGCAAAAAACCCTCCATTCATATTCTTGATCCTCCATTCACATGACCCTCCATTCACATTCTTAATTAGACTTTGTCCTGGATATTATATGTGCAGCCAACCTCTGACACAATTTTATTAAATACAAAATTCAGAGAAGAGTCTCCAGTGCATAATACTGACCTTTCCTCCCACTGAACATATAGCTTAACTGTTTTAACCAGTTCATTGTATTACTGTTGTGTGCCCAAAAACAAATTCCATGCCATCATTACTGAGAACCAGGATGGTGTATGGGTTAAAGTTTTGGACTTTGAGCCAGTTATTCTCTTTCAGCCCAACCTACTTCACAGGGTTGTTATGGGGAAAAATAGGAGGAGGGAACACTGTGTATAACACCTTGAGCTCCTATACAAAAAAGATGGAATATCAATCAATCAAATAAATAAGGAAAAGCCCCTGTCATGAAACATAAAATTTCCCGTCATGAAACTTCAAAATTCCTTACTCTGTATTAAGTTTTCCTCCTACCAAAGACTTTAGAGTACTCCTAGTATATATACTATCATTTGTGTCCTGATTATAAAGCTATCTTTAGAACCAATTATAGCATAGTTTTAAGAAATTCCACCTTTAAGTTGGTAAAACCATCCTTCCAGTGCTGGCTTCCAGTACTACATCTTACCAAACACTGTTACCCTACCCTAGAAAGGTAAGCTTTTGGGGGATTCCTACAAACAGAATGTTTGTTGTGCTAACCCAAGCTGATTTAATAATATATTCTCAGAATGCATTCCCATAAACAACAGTAACAGAGTAAGATGACAGAATTAACAATTATGGATTAGCAATCAGTGATAACAGCAACAAATATAAAGTACAAATAAGCAGTTTTTATATTTGAGAGGTATTCCTCAAAGATAAAGGACAGCTACCTGTTCATAGATTATACAAAACAAGGATGAATGGTGAAACAGATAAAGCCAAAAACAACCTCAGTGCTGAATATATAATACAGAAATCAACAAAGCATCTATTTTTTTTTCAGTAGTCAAGTGGCAAATTATTCTGGATTATGAAACTAGAGATCTAACCCTGTTCAAAATAACTGTTAAAAAGATGCAGATTAAGACAAATATGTTATTTATATATAGATGGGATCTATGCAGGAGTTGAATAAATAAGAGAAAGATAATGAGGTTGTGATGGATTGCTCAGTGAAAACATCAATTCAGGGTGCAACAGCTATGTGAAAAGGCAAACTCCATGTCAGGAATCATTAAAAGAGAACTGAATGCTTTTACAGCCAATACTATAATTATTTTATACAAGTACTGTATATGATACAGACACTTTTGGAAAACTGGGTACCACTTTAGTCATTCCACTGCAAACAATTACCACATAGCTGAGGAGTAAGCATAAAACAGCAAATAAAATGATTCGGGTATTGTGTGCTTGCCATAGAAGGAAACACTGACGCCCAAACAATTTGACGTGATAGCATTTATAAACAAATAGTGTACAAAAGTGGACAGATCAAAGTTTGATTTCCTATTATATACTGGGACCTGGGGTGTCCCAATGTAATTGGTACCAGTAAATCCAGGACAAACAAAAGGAAACATTTCCCTCACACAACTGATGTATCGAACTTAAAGATGTGTGACAATTCACTATTAAATATAGCTGTTGACAGAAACATGCTGAACTAAATAGGCCTTTGATCTGATGCAGTAGGGTATATCCGAAAAAGATATTGTATATCCTTTTCATTCGCTGTGTTAAACGAATCCTAGACAGGTTAAAAAAAAAAAAGAACAGATTGTGGAACTTTGCTATTATGGTTTACAGAACTGGAATGGAAACAGCAGAAATGCATTTGGCAGAACTCAACTTCAATAACCTTACTTTTCAGACACCGGCCTTAATGCTTTATTCAAATTTTTCACAAGTGTAAAGTGTAACCAGATATTTATAATTACAGAACAGCACATCTGCAAAGGTATATAAAATAAATAATATAAATATATATAAATATAAAATATGGAAGAGTATTCCATTGAAAAACAAGGATCGCTTTTGCCTCTGGATTCTAAACAGAAGCACAGCAAAGTAACAATGTGTCAATCCAGTTAAGAGGAAAAGCTAAAATAAGAATAGGCAGGGGGGAAAAAATAAAGCTAAAGTATGCATGCCTTACATACTTCAAGTGTAATTATTTAACGACTACACACTGTCATCCAGGGTAGTTGTTCTTTTAATACTGATATGGTCTACAAGCAGTAAGAACTGCTTACTTATTGTAAGGATGTCAATAAAAGTTAAGAGTGCCGCCTTTCCCAAGAAAATCAAGTTAGGACTTAAAGAATGAAATAGAACAGTTAATAATCTCCGAATGCATACAATATTGTTGGTACAGGTTTCTTTACAAATAACAGCATGAGATTCACAAAATGATAGCAAGTACTCATATGGATACAACACATAAAAATACATAAAAGGGATGCAGCACATAAAAATACACAAAAGTGACGTGTGATACCTTCACTTTGACAGCACAGAAATGTCTTTGGGAAACAGAATGGTGAGTATATTATTTTGTAATTATTAGGCTGTATAGGAAAATTTGCATAAACATACAAATCTCTTCCATCTGGGTGTGTTTTCTATCCATTTTCTAGATTTAGAGAAGTTACAAGGAAGGCAGCAGATCATAACAGTATATACTCCAACCATAACCTAGAAACTATCAGGCACTATAAAGAAGTGAATGATTACAATATCAAATTGTGTGAAATCCATAGCTTTTGGGTAACATGCAACCTGATTTGTAGCATGTTACCATTTGTGACATTGGAAGATCACTTCATTTAAATTTGGTGGCAAAATGTCACCAAAATGTCAGTGATGTGAGTTAGGCTAAAGAACAGTAAAATAAATGTGGGAGATGTGTAAAGCTTCTGGAAAATGCGAAACCCCTTTTCCTTTCTTACATTCTGAACTCCATGAAAACTGCAACAAAACCAGTCACTGGAAGCTTCCTATGACTTGGCAACCAGTTACGTCTATCAACTACATCCCCTTAGTCAAAAAATATTTCGCATCTCTGCTTTTCTGCATAGCATGTGAAAACAAACCAACAAGAAACAAATGGCTTCCTTAAAATCTTGTATATTAACTATCAACTACAATTAACCATGAATGTCCTGTACACTACTCATAATAATATGATCTACTGCACCATTCAGGAATTCAATGCAATTCATCTTTCCCAGTCACAAATGTTAGCTGGAATATAGCAGCCCAAGTGGAAGTAGAAATTCCATTCCAAGAACTAAAATTCCCCATAATTAAACATACTGCAGATTTACAGGAAATAGACACCTGAGCTTTTATCAAATCACAATAATAATTTTACATGATCTATTGTCCCCAATGCAAAACAGTAAGATTAAAACATCATAATGTTTTGTAAAAGAAATCTTTTTCACCAGCAAGGTTTTCTATATACATAAAAACTGCTAATCTGAAGCAATGGAAAAAAAAAAGACTGAAGCAATGACATACATTAAAATATTATAGATTTTATATTAATACTGAATATAATACTATTCAGTATTATGGTCTACTAAAAAGTGAATTATAAATATGTGTTAATATATTTTAATTATAAAAAGGTGAATTATAAATATGTGTTTTTATATTTCTATAAAAATAGAAAAAATCTGAAAAGGAATAAATAATGTTATAGATAATTGCCATTCATTACCTTTGGGATCCTCTAATTTTTCATTCACTCTTTCTTTGCATGACAGTTTTTCAATTGGTTTAATTAAGTTTTCTTCTTCAGAGAAGGCAATAAAACAGATGAAAGAAAGAAAAGGATGAAAATAAATGCCTTAGGAAAACAGAAAAACTGGGTGAAATGAATGGAAATAATAAAATGAAAAAGGAACAAATCTCAAAATAAAGTGTAAGTGAGCTTTGTAAATTAGTTTCCTACCTACTGACACCAGGGTCAATTTTAAAACAGCAACCTAGACCAGTGTTTTACTATAATTCTATAAATGCAGTTTAGATTAGTAGAAATGGAAATATGAGGAGAAATTACTTTTAATAATCCACAAAAAGACTATTTCAGAATTTTGAACATAGGGTTATGAAATGCTTCAATTTGATTCAGAAGGAGTGCTTCAGATTATGGAGGAGCAGGGGCACGGAACTTGTCCATGTCTCATCAAACAAGCCATATCAAAGTCTAGGATCATGCAGCTGCTGCAGGGAGGCTTCTGCTGCAGGTACGTGATCCTAGAAACCGACAATGAGTGAGAGACAGGTGTTCTGTTCACATTCTTTGGCATTCCAAAGCATCTTTCCTGAGCCAGATCATGTACTGAGATGGGCAGCTATATAAATTGATTTAATAGATAGATAGATAGATAGATAGATAGATAGATAGATAGATAGATAGATAGATAGATATAGATAGATAGATAGATAGATAGATAGATAGATAGATAGATAGATAGATAGTCAGTCCTATTAGAACATACAATTTACCCCAATTATTTCTGACTCCCAGATTCTTGAGATAACCAGGAATGTTTTATTGCAAGGACTATGAACTCAGTTCTCATACTGAACAATTTTTGAATGCAGAATTATTTTAGCCTAAGCCTTTAATTCTAATTCACCCAGATTTGGATGGGCCCCACCTTAGCCCTAGGAGCATTCTTAAAATATAAAAACAATAGGTGGTACCATCCAATACTTCATTCTGAAGCATTCCCTGCCTTCAGGGAATGAAGAGAAAGAAAGAAAAAAGATAAACTAGGAGATGGGATGGAGTATCAGGAAGACAGTGTGGGATGGTAGGAAACTTGTGGGAACGGTGCCTGAGCTCTCTGCACATGTTTTGTGGGACTGATGATATGTAGATCGGTTTTAATGAGATACAGATAGTCCTCGTTTAGCCACTGCCTCGGATAGTTATCATTCACAATTATGACAGTGATGAAAAAGTAACTTTGCAACCAATGCTGGCATTTACCACACAAAAGTCTTCAGTGGAAACTGATTAAGATCTGGTCAATTTCAGGCAGCAGCTGGAGGGATCTAATCAACTAATTAAGGTCACAGAGCTGAGCTTCTTAACTTGTCCAGAGCACTTTTCAGGGAAGAGCTGTGTTGGGGAGAAAAGCTGCTCAGGAATGGGAAAAAAGGGGGAAAAATGGGTCAGGCACAGGAAACTGTGCAAGAGAACTTTATCTGAATGAGACAGCAGCAACCAGTGATCTTTGCAGCATCTCTCTCTGTCATGTGGTTTGCTTAGCAACTGTGTCACTTAGCGACCATTTCACCAGAACCAATTGCAGTCAGTTACTAAATGAAGGCTACCTGTATGTGTTTTGTTTGTGCCTGTGTATAGTGTGTTTTAATTTGGAAATTTCTACTTTCTTCTCTGACCTGGTTTCAAATCAATGAAATAATGATGGAAGTCAATTTGTTATATGAACACGGTATAGCAGCAATTTTCATTAGCTAGAAAAGAAAAGCCTTCTGGGCTATGTTCAACATTATATTTAATTTATACTCCTCTTGTACACATATGAAATCCATAATATATGCCACTTACAAGTTAGTAAACTGGGGGGATAACAGTATCACAACTATGACTTAAATACAGTTAATCTATTTACTTAATTATCTAAAACACCTAAACATTTAAAGCCTCAATTATCTAAACACACAAGCACATACACACTCTTTCTTACATATATCCATTTGGCCACATCACTTATACACATTCAAATGAGAGGCACAATCTTTTGTGGATCTGGTATATATTTTTTGCTACTGAAAAGCTAACAAATGTACAATGTCATCAAATGTAGAAACAATCTCTGGGTGCATGCATGTTGTGATCATCTCTATTTGAATCCAAACCACTATTAAAAATTATGCATGTTAAACTGGGAAAGGGCATTATACTTGAAAACAATTGCAAAAATGAAAATACAAATTTTATAAAATATATGAAAAACAATAGATGGTGTGCAATACTGTATTACATTAATTACCTGCATTGACTTGATTGAAAGACAGACCTCCAATTGGTGCTATTGATTTTGAAAACAAAGGATTGTTCCAAGTACCATGGATTCTTTCTTTAGTGGCTGCTCCTGAGGAAACATTCTTAGGGTTTACACCTTTAAGAAATTATCATATTAAAGTTTAATATCTATCACTAGCTCTGGAAGTCACAGTATATGCTTTGCTAGGCAGCTATTTGCATGAATACAGGAAGAATAAAAAAGAGCCACTACTTCCTAAAGAAACTACCATATTTATTGGCGTATAACACACACTTTTTTCCTTAAAATTTGGGGCTGAAATCCTAGCTGTGTGTTACTCAAGCAGCAGGGCTGGGAGAGTGGAGCCTTCATTTGAGCCATTGAGGGCTGTAACTGGGGCAGCTCTGCAGAGCAGGAGGTGAGCGGTGGGTGAGTGAGCGAAAACCGGCCCTCCCCATCGCTCATGCCTGAGCTCCACACAGGCAAGTGAGCAAAAACCAGCTCTCACCTCCTGCTCTGTGGAGCTCAGGCGCTAGCGATGGGGAGGGCCAGTTTTCACTCACCTCCCTACCGCTCACCTCCTGCTCTGTGGAGCTCAGGCGCAAGCGCAAGTGATGGGGAGCACCAGTTTTCGCTTGCTCACCCACCGCTCACCTCCTGCTCTGTGGAGCTCAGGTGCGAGTGATGGGGAGCACCAGTTTTCACTCACTCACCCACCGCTCACCTCCTGCTCTGTGGAGCTCAGGCGCGAGCAATGGGGAGCACCAGTTTTCGCTCACTCGCCCACCGCTCACCTCCTGCTCTGAAAAGCTCGGGCGCGAGCATGAGCGATGGGGAATGCCAGTTTTCTTCGTTCAAAGAGGTGTTGTTTCTTTCATATTACATATTTACCTTACAAGTGGTATAAATATCAATAACCAAAAAGTTCAGAGCTCCCTTTC